CCATGTCAGAGGATGAAGAGAGCACATCCAGTTAGTCACAGAAATAACAGAATCTTACAATCATATAAAAACTTTATCATTATTTATTTGTTGTGCTTTGATGAGGGACTTGTTGTCCAAATACTTCAGCCATCTTTTTAGGACATCGAGCAGGAAGGAGGAGGAAGTCTGCCTCAGATGACTCTTTGAACCGCCGCCATGTTTCACCAGCCGTCAGACTGCCACAGAGATGCTACAGTGCCACATAAACTGAACCCTGTGTCCTGAGAAGCGCCGGTCAGCAGAGAGACACAGAGAGGAAGGACAGACATTGGCCTTATTGTCTTTGCTCTGACACCAGGCATGTGTTCAGTGGGTGAGGGCAGACGCAGCCTCTGCAGACCGAGCTCCCTGCAGGGGTCTGCTGAATGCCGCACCCACACTGACACCATTTAGGATGTGCTGATGACAGTGAGCAAAACGATGGGTGGAAATTTGCATATTGAGTAAATTATGTACTTGAGTCAGTCAGTCACAGCAGGCGGTGAGTCACACTCCTTATTTATGGCTTTAACAGAAACCCATAGAAGGTAGAAATGAAGAAAGGGGAAGCATGATTTCAGCTGTGGTCAGAAGCAGATTGTGACATCACAATGATAAAATCTATCTGTCAGGCCACAAGCTGTGTTCTTCCTGAATTCTTTCACTGAGGCAGGGGCGTGTTCAGGCCGGCTCCTTGGAGTAATGTCAACAAGGAAGTGGGCCCAGGGGAGAAGGCGTGGCCTTGCCTGGGCAGCACTGCAGCGAGCAGGTAACACTCATAAAACCTCATCAGGGCAGTGATCTGCCACCGTTTGGACCGGGACAATGACGAGAACACTCCTACTGTGGCTTCTGTTCCTAAACGCCTCATTCAAGCCCTCAGGTAAGTGACGGGATACAGTTACCCCTGTTCAGCACAGGAGGGCTGATTAATAACTAAAGCTTTGACCATTTATTCAAAGCTTCCTGATCCTGAGGGGAGAAAGCTGTTCTGTGAACCTGTTAAGGAGAAGAGAATCTATGATAATCATTACTGCCTGATTCTGTCTGTACATTTGGCCATGGTGTTTTCAGCTCAGGGCCAAAACAGTTTTAAGACATGTGATTAGCTAAGAATTGCTCAAGTAGAGCTCTGTGCCCTGAGGTTAACCAAACTGCCACAGCAGCTGGTAGTTGCATGTATGTTACTACCTAATAACCCAGTAAATAGAGCGACGACACGCTGCAGGAGCTGAACTTTGGATCACAACATAGCCGCTGCCCACCCAGGTACTACCAGGTAGCTGTGAGTCAGAGGAAGTTACTCACTAATTGTAAATCTGCTTGGACTGATGGAAAAGCACAGAATGAGGACATGAGATTTTCCAGGTTTCAGGACAGATTTTAAGGCTAAAAAGTGTCTAAACGTCCTCATGTAAATCCCTGCAGGTTTCAAACTTCACAGGGGAAAAAATCCTAGTTTTACTTTAAGAATGAAGTTTGGAACTATAATCACCTCGTTAGTTTTAGTTAGTTAGTTAGTTA